TTGTGTAGGTTCCCTTGTATATGTCATATCCAATAAGCCAAATTCGACTATCCCAGAATTTTTTAGTTTGAAGCTATCCCAATCTGACACTTGCTTAAAAAAAGTTATTCCTTCAGGAAGAATCTACTGAAGCTATAGGTGATGACAAGGAACAAGTATCTCCTCCGAAGATTCAAACAAAAAGTATCGAGGTGTCCAGAAATCCAATGACCAAACCTCTGTAGAATAGATATTAGCTCTCAGAAAATGAGTTATAGATTAGATGGTTTAAACTAGTGATAGACATTCTTTCCCTATAGAAATTCCACCCAATATATTAAATCCATCTTTGATATATAATTCTTATAGTTGGATTTAAAGATAGATGGTAAGCTGTTTCCCAAAACAGAGCAGTATTAGTTACAATTAGAACTGTCATTAGATACAATCGATACAAATTAGCAATTGTTTCAGTTGTAAAAGGCACTTGATATATTTCCATAATATAAAAGTATCAATAAAGATCTATATCATTGCACATTTATCTATAAAAAAATAAAATAAAAATAAATTATTAAAAATATTATATAAAATTTAAAAACAAAGATTTAAGTTATAACTATTATCAATTAATCTGGATACCTCGATGCAGTACAGCCAACACTTTTTCTACTACTGGCATCAAATGGAACAAGAATCATCCCAACATCTTAACAAAGAAGAAAAACAATCAAAACATTAGCAAACCTGATACATCTAAAAACTTCTCCTCTACTACCCTTAAAGATTCAACCATCACTGATTTATCAATTATAGTAGTAGACTTTTATATTCAAAACGGATATAACTTTTTCAAATGTATTTCTAAACTAATTACCAATTACTCTAACTTCCTTTCACAAAATATTAAGTAGGTATTCATAGTCACTCAGAGTCACTTGACAAGATGTATTGTTTTAAAATTTATTTTTAGTACTAGTTAAGTGGTTACTGTAGGCAAGCTAGCATTTAACTCATTGTCTTGTTACACATGAGAAATGTTGTTTTTTTCACAATATATATATATCATTATATAGATTAAATAAAGAGATGATATTTACCTACAAAAAAAAAAAAAAAAAAAAGTTATAACTATTGTCTCTTTTATCAAAATAAAATAAAGAAAAATTAAAGTATTTATCTTATTACTTCAAATAAAAAACAATAATAATATTTTTAATATTATAGATATTCTAAAAACAAATTATTTAAATATTAATAAAAATATATTTTTTATTATAATAATATTTTTGTTTTAAATAAATATTAATTATTTAATATTAATAAAATCAACTTATATATAGTATATAGTAGACAGTATTAATTTGATTACAATAAATTACAATTAATTTACTTTATATAAATATTATTAATATACTAATTATAAATCAATGTTTAATAAATTCTATATATCTAATGTTTATTTGCAAATATATATAAAATATATATATATTAAAAAAAAAATTTTAATAAACATATACTGTATATATAAAAAAAAACTCTTTCCACTGATCCCCTTGCCAACCCAAAAAAAAACAGACGTTTTCAAAAATAATTTTTATTTTTGATAATAAAGTCTATACACTTTTCTTAAAAACATTACTTCTTAAAAGCAAGTGCCTCCTTTACTTGTTTACTCTTCTTTCTTCAAAAATTTTAGATATTTCAATGACAAAATAAACAAAATTTTACCTATTTGGTCTATGGCAAAAACATCTTACTGGGAAGAAAAAACTTGTAGAAAAACACCTTTCACTATTTTCTTCAAAGGTTTGAAACTTTAGAAAGTAAACCACTAGTGAATGCATTTTTCAAGCTCCATAAGAATTCCAGATCCACCATAAGCGAACACCTTAATCTTGAGGTGGGTAGATAAGCTAGTTGGGCTTGCCAAGCGAATATATTTCTCAAGCTCCATAAAAACCTTGGGTCTACTATAAGTTAAAACTCCTGTGGTCTAGGCAGGTGGATAAGCTGATAGGAGTCTATCGCCTGATATATAAACCTTTTTTACCACTCATATATTTAGTAGATAGTACTTTCAAGTATATCAAAATTTTCTTGGTTTTTTCTGAAGAATTTTACCTATCTCAGTTTGACCCTGAATTTTTTGTTATACTAGAATTGTTGGTTGGTGATTGGTTGAGATTTTGGATTGGTTGATCGATACGTAAAAGAAATGTAAACAAGACACATACCCACACATAGGGCTCCTAATGATACCACTTCGATATTAGTTCGATACCAGTTCGATATTTAATTTACTATAAATTTATATGAGTGGGTTACAACCCATATATTAAATTTACTATAGATCAATAGTATTTCGATACCATTTCGATATCGGTTTGATACTTTTCGAAGCCCTATCCACACGTGCCTTGCGTTGTATCATATTATAACTGATGATGTAATTGAATAAAGCAAAAGAGCAAGGTGTCGAGATATTCTTTTGATAAGAAGTGTTTGAAAGTCTTTTCTTTTCCTTTTGTGCTGGTTTCTTTCTCCTTAAGATCAAAGAAGGCTCTCATTAGGCTGGTGATTTTGATGGGTTTTTATTTTACCAGTGCAAATTTTTCTTTTCCTCTTTATCTTCCCTTTTACCTTTTCAAAAAATAAAAATTTTTATATCTTAGGACCACAGAGATTAAGTTGGAATGAACAATCTTAATAAAGGACTGGTAATGATATTGAAATCTACAAGAAATATGAGTTAAGATAGAGCAACTTTTTTTATTTCCTTTAATCACATCTAGAGGCCAATAGCTGTTGACGAGTGTGCCGTATAATATATAAAAAGTTTAACCTATAGTATAGATCCATCGGATACTTGATGTGTCTTACCATTTGTACCTGGGATCAGTTCGAATTCAATAGTTTGTAAGCTAGTTTGAATACAAATAAACTTCAATATATGACCTAATTAGATGTAAAAAAAAAAAAAAACATATACAGTACTGTATATATAAATTTGATAAAATAAATAAATTCAAACCAAAAATTATACAGTATATTAAATTATTTTATAAAAATTTTATATTGATTTATAACTAAAGTTTATATTTTATAAATTTGTTAAATTTATTAAATTATTTATTTTTTAACTAATAAAAAAAAAAAAAAAGAAAAAAAATACAAATATATACTGTATATAGTATACAGTATAAGAAAAATAAATTTATTTTATTTTTATTAAAAAAATTTTTTTATAATTTTTTATAATTGCAAATATACTGTATACTACTGTATATATAATACAGACAAATATTTTTGTTACATACTGTGCTGTAATATTATATGATATACAGTATACAGTATATTGTATATCGTAATACCTTACGCATGTATATATAAAGTATATTGTATGATACGATATTTTTTTATTGAAATGAATTAAGATTTTTTTTTTTTTTTATTGATTGAAATAAAGTATTCAGCATAAAAAAAGCCATTTTATTCAAAATCCGGTACACACTATTTAGATTAATTCCGTATAATGTATAGTGTGCATAATAAAGTTGCATGCAATATGTACACCTTATTTTTTTTTTTTTTAAAAAAAAAAAAACCCCATTGCAGCTATTATGCATCGACACACACACGTTATTGACATAAACTGATCCAAGTATCCACATAGGTAAATCAATGATAGATTTTCTTCAAATGGCGGTATTATCGTAAAACTCAAAATAAACGACGTGGGATATTCCTGACATAATATTGTCGTCAGAACTCAGTATTGTCAACTAGTAGTTTTTGTTTTCTTTCACAATGGAAAGAAGCTGGATGTAGTGAAAAAATAGTCAATAGGTTAATCATAGTTGACTATGAATAACTCCCCGCAGCGAATCGTCGGAGAGAACGTGGACGTTTTTGAGAACATTCCAACAGAGTCGATCTCAAAGTTATCTAACCAATAAAAGAAACAGGCAATGGAAATTCCTTATGTTAAATTCGTGGTACCGATCAAATTCGACGAAATAATCTACTATTTAAGAAAATGACAATAAGACACTATATGACGACTACAAAGGTCAAAAGAAATTATTGTTTGAGAGGTTCACACGTTTAAGGGTAATTTAAGGTTTCCCCCAATAGTCAATTCTTCTTTTTATTTGGTAATAAGGAAAAAAAAAAGATAGACACCCGAATCCTGATTTCAACTATACACGTCCAAAATAATTTATGATTGCATCAAATTCAAACAATTAAGATTACTTGATTCTATGAAATTACCTTAACGTGAACATCAATGCTATTGTATGAAATGATACTTGTTTAGAATTATCATACTCTTGTCTTTTCCATCCTTAATTTTCTTTCCGGGTGAAACTTGTGCGGTTATTTTTTATTTCTATGTAAGTCACGGAATTTCATATACCAGATGCATGCAAAATGAATGTCAAAACTTTAAAATCTAATCACGTTCACGAAATCAATATAGATGACTATGATGTTACCAGTCGTTTATTGGTGAAAGCAAAAAAAAAAAAATTAGGGGAACAGTACCAGTAATACTAAATTGAGAAATTGAGAATCAAAAAGAAAAAAACGCTAATTCAAGAAGGAATTAAATGTTTCAAAAGATTATTTTTTTTTCTTTATCTAGTAAAGGAATTTGATACAATGATTGCGGTCTCAAATTAAGTAAGACGGTTTACTCGCGTGATCTATTCACAATATTGAGAAAAAAAAAAGGTTTTCAGTGATTGACGAAGTCGAATTAATATATAAACCTTCTTTGCAAAACTTTCTGTGTTTTCCTCTCAAGAATCATTTATTTATCTTGGTAAAGAAACTATTACTACCAACCTTACGGAGCTCATTCTCTACCAAACAGATATATCTCTTTAACACATCAAGATACACGCGTAACCGAGCCAAAGGCTTTCGAAGACATAACTTATCAAAAAAAATAATTTACCAAATAACCTGACATTCGTTTCCCTCATTTACAAAGAATCTCTACAGTCAAGCCAAACTTAAGATAACTTCTCACAACTAAGCTCTTCCCTACCAATCCAAAAATTCCCTATATTAAAAAAACTCGTAAGAACTAAAAACAGTAAAATGGAACTCGTAAATTCTAAGAACACTACCGTAAAACTTTTGTCATCTACCGTCTGAAACTTGAGCCCAAAGAATATTCCGAAGGTACGAGTTCCCTTGTGAAGTTCTCATGATTCGTTTCTTATTTTTGCATTATTGATTACTGACATTATCTCTTTGATTTTTTTTTTTTACAGTACAATCATGCGCTCCAGTCACGTGAGGAACATCCAAAGCTTTCAATCCTTTAGGACTTATATTCGTGGTATTGCAGTCAGTTAAAATCGCAGGAGCTGTGCAATGACAGTATTAGATTGCTTTTCATCCAAGTGTCATATACCTCTTAGAACACCGTGAAAATTCGTTCCACTCTTTCGCCATCACCTTTACCATCATCGCATCACGACCACTTTCCCTTTCCCTAATACCTACCATTCATTCATTCATTCAATCAATCAATCTTTGTTCCCCGACCTCCCTCCATTTCGCCATCTCTACCATCATCCCTATTACATTACTTTCTTTATCATGCTCTTATCTACCTTCCTTTTTTTGTTACATCGCCAAGCTAGCAGGGGAACATTGGTCCCATGAAGAGCTTTTTAAACACAGAATGCCGCACCTTTATTTTGGATGACCAGCTCGTTTGAATTATTATCTATAATCTTTACATACATATTCAACGGTATTACCACGTGCTTATTGATCTTCGCTTGATGGAGCGTTATCTCAAAATAATTTTCCGCACGCAATCGTCGCAAATCAAAATCCCGAACTTTCATTTGTTCGTTTTTTGATAACCTTAAAGTTTATTTGTACAACGGTCATTTTCTAATCCGAGGAATCTCGGGAATTTTCAAATATTTAGTTTTAGCTCGTTTTTTTAGAGTTTAACCATCCATTCATAAAAATATGCTAAGAACTAAGGATTATGTCGTTTTTACAATACATACAGTATATACATTTTTTTTTTTTTTAATGTATCAAACATTAGTGGTGTAAACATTTAAAAAAGTTATACTTTGAATACATCTCTGAGAAGAAAGTTGGCACCACGAATCTCATCAGATGCCTTTAATAAATTTTCGCACCAAGGTTTACCTTATTCATGATGTTTGCATGAATCTAATGACGTTATACGCGTACATGCATTATATGCATTACGCGTTGGTAAATTGTAATATCCATGTTGTGAATTTTATGGTTTGAATTTAATTAGTTAACCGTTTTTGACTGTTCATTTGTACAAGTTGTTTGTTCTATTATTAATTATCTGATTCTTTAATTTTTTAACTTCTCCGGTGAATCCGGTCCATATCCTTTTTATATCGCGCGCCCTCGTTCCGGCACTACTACCACTGTTGTCTACGATCACTGCGTCAACACTCTCGGAATCACTTAACCCTGGAACATTCTCCAGCAGACATTTCATTATTTGGACCCTCTTATATCTGGCGACACGGGAAAAAAAAAAAAAGATTAACTAAGCTTTTGTTTAATCATATCAACAGAATCATTCATTCATAATATCAATGGTTACCTTGCTGCAAAAACAAATGCATTTGGAAAGTTGGAATCATTCGGTATGACTTCGACACCGTGATTAATCAGTAGCTTACAGTATAGAGGGTCATCGCACAGTATTATTATGGCAAATAGCGCATTGGGTAATTTGTGCACAGAGCGTTGCGGTAATGTTAATTCACTCTCGCTCAATGATGAATGGTGAGTGAAGGTATCTAGCGGTGTCACTGATGGCTTTGATGAAAGCGATCTTGGTTGAGATATTCGAATGTTGGGATTAGCGCCGTTCTCAAGGAGCATTTTGAATTGGTCTAAAGGTGGAGGTATTCCAACCTTTAAACGTTCCTTAAGGAGTTTCCTTAGCGCAACGTCTTGTGAAAATCTTTTTGGCAAAGGTGGTGTTGCAGCTACCGATTGTGGTAATATCGCTTTATCAACAATGTCCCGTATGGTTGCGCTGCGTGCCCTTAGGAATGGTTCTGATAATTTGGGGGCTTTCCAGGCAGCATTACGACCATTTATAACTATCAATCAAAGGAAACATGACGTTCGTGAGAAATACTGTAAATAAATAAACAAACAAACAAGCATCAAGTTCTAAATCTACTCTACCCGTGGCAACCAGAAATTTCTTTAATGCCAACGGATCATCGAAAATTGGGGGTTCTGGAAGCGCGGGACCAAAATATGGAACGCCATCCTTGCACACTATGTCTATCCTGATAAAGAATCGGAGAATTCGTTAAATTGTCGCTTGGAGATTTCCAATTTTCATGCACGTGAAACATCACCCACCAGTATGCGTCCGTTCCAACGTTGATTCGTACGGGACTGACCACCACGTATACATGTAAAAATTGGGAGCGTATTGTGTATGGGTTAAACGGTCGGCGTACGTCTTGGAAAACGATGCAAGCGATGTCTAAGTGGTGAGACGACGACAGTAAGAAAAAGGTAAAGGTAGTTATGAATCAACGAAGGTTTGAGTAATTCAAGGAATACCATTTCCTATATGTCTTTTCCTTGTGACCTGATGTTTATCCGACTTTACGTATGGAATAAGTGTGCACACGTGGTACATTATCTCGAAGTTTTTCCATGTTCCGCTATCGTAAATTGAGTATTCACCCGACCCGCCGTTGCGTGTATCTAGTCCGCCCGCAAATCCTTTGAAACCGAGTAATCGAACTTTGGTACCCAATATTGTCAGAAACCTGTCGAAGAGTGGTGAGGTAGTTGTGTTTGAAAACAATTCTATCTCTGTTTGTTGTGAAGGGGCACAGTACAGTACACCGATCTTATAGCTTTTTTGGAGCTGAAAAAGGAAGGGGCTTAATTGACACGAAACTTTCTAGAAAATTCGAAATGGTTGATGTGATAATTACTCTGGTTTCATCCAAGCTTAGCAGCTGGTTAGTCAATTCGAAAGTCAATTCAAGTTTCTTTAGTTTTTGTCGATTGAAACCTTTTAAAATCGTCTCCAACAATTCTTCTGATGGCATCTCCCCGACGAGTGACATAGGTGGACCGGTGATTAAACCTCTATTATCGGGTAACTATGTATTAGCGCGAATATACATTGACAATTTAATACTTGA